TTGATAATAATTATTATAAATTGATACATATGATAATGAAAAGTTTCTTACAGTATTTACAGTAGGGAAAAGCCGAATTTTTGCATAAATAAATGATGTATAATGATAATGATAATGATAATGGTAATAATAATAATAACTAATAATAATAGTAACAATAATAATAATAATAATAATAATAATAATAATAATAATAATAATAATAATAATAATAATAATAATAATAATAATAATAATAATAATAATAATAATAATAATAATAATAATAATAATAATAATAATAATAATAATAATAATAATAATAATAATAATAATAATAATGACAATAATGATAATAATGATGATAATAATAATAACTTCACCAAAATAATTAATAACAATGAGAAATAATAACAACTAATAATAGTAATGATAAATAACCCTGATATAATGATTGATTCAATCAAATAATGAAGTACCATTGTTAATTGGATGAAGTATTAACTGATATTATACCAGGTGTGCATACAGATTTTATTTTTGCTGCTATCTGATCAATAAAAAAAAGCAATAATTGATGAAAATTATTATTCGAAATGATTAGGAAGGATGCAAAAATATACAAGTTATTTATATGGCAAATAACATCTTAACTTGTATATTACTTATTTGTTTAATATTTTGGTAATTAGCCTCTTGAATTGATATAAGCCAAACAGTATATAAGTTCCAATAAAATGAAAGGAAAATAAAATCAACTATTAAAAAACAAAGTCTTTAAAATAAAATGTTTTAAATCAATTTCTTTTTCATTTTTTTGGCAGCCCAATTTAAGCTATCAATAAATAATTTTATGAATATATCTCAAATTTCTGTACATAAATCAAATCTTTAATACAAAGCAAAGTAAACATTAATTTCAGGAATTAAAATAAAAAACAATTACAAACGAATAAAACACAAATTTCTTCATTATTAATTGTTAAAATTTAATTGATATTATTCAAAAAAAATTTATTTTCTATTATTTGTACTAAATCATTTATCCATTTGCTTTGATTTGTTAAAAAAAATTTGATTTATGTGCTATTACCTGTGTTAAGGTTACTTATCTATTTTTATCATACACTAAAATTAATCGTTTAAATTGATAAAGATAAAAGAAAGTTAAAAAAATAAAAAAAAAAAGGAATAAAACGAGCTTTCCACAATTTCTCACAACGACAAAAGTGTAACTTAAACAATTCAACAGCCAGTTGCACTCTATTATTGCATTAGATAGAGAAGGAAGATGATAAATTTTTTTTCTAAATTTAAAGATAGCCTCGTAAGAAATTAAACATTTTCCATTGTCTTAACAAAATAAAAGGCGAAAAAGAAGAAGAAAAAAGAAGAAAGATGAAGTGTGTTTCCATTTTACTTTCGTTTACAAGTCATTAATAAATTTCGTTTTATTTAATTTTAGATGGAATCAAATTAATCAAAAAACTATGATTATATGATGTTTAAAGCATTTATGCCAATGTTTGTGAGAAAAATTAAATAGCAATTAGAGAATTTAAAATCCTTATTAAGCATGCTAAAATAAATATTAAATTCTTCCTTAAAAGAAATTCGATTCATTTATTTTAAACTTTAACAAATGAATAAATTATAGAACTAAACAGAGAAGATAAATAAATAAATACTGATAAACGAGAAGTGAAGAGTATATCATGGATATATTATTAATCGCACAATAATATTAAAACTAATAGAATTTACTGAAAATAATATAAAAAGCACAGAAAGAGAGAGAGAGAGAGAGAGAGAGAGAGAGGAGGAGAGAGGAGGGAAGGAAGGAGTATAGT